ACCCCCCGGGCTGTCTTCCATTGGCGGGCGCCGTGGCTGCTGCTTCTGCGGGGGCCTTCTTTCGTTGGCAGGCGCCGCTGCTCCGGGGGCATGAGCTCCCGCGCCCCGCGCGGCTTCCGCCGGGCACCCCGCGCCTGACTAGACAATTTTTATTATCAATAAGTACCTTTTTCTTTGGGGGAGAGAGAAGTGATAAGTTACCCCCACACACACACACACACATAGGGGATGGCCATGCCACAAACAATCCTTTCTCCTCCACTCTCCTCTAGGGATTTTGGGTTTGCACATGTATCCTGAATGTTTCTGGATCTGGGACTCAAACCACACAGTTGGCCATATCGGATCTAGCACCTTAGCTACCGTGCCTTCTTTGATAATTGTATCCTTTTAAGACAGAATTTAGGGAAGGGTGGCAGGAATGTGCATACATCACTGGCAGAAAAAGTCTCATATTTATTTTTATTAATGTCTAACTTAAATTGAGCATTTATTTTAATTATGATGGCATTAAACTACAGTTATTAGTATTTATGAATGTAATGAAAAGAAATCACAATCATATATTTTTTTTTTTGGAGAGGTTTTCGCTATAGGGCGCGTGCGCTCGCCATAGAGACAGAAAGCGAGAAATCACCCCCCAGAGGGGATGGTCATACCGCAATCCCTTCTCCTCCATTCTCCTCTCGGGATCTTGGGCACACATGCACACGCGCCCAGCGTGAGTTTTAAGCCACCGGGTCCGGGACACGAACTGTGGTCGACTACATGGGAGTCCAGCGACATAGCCATTACGCTAACTGCTGGTTCCCACAATCATATATTTTTTAAAGAATCATTTATTTTAAAATTTATTATTATTTTAACATTTACCCTAGGGCATGTGTGCTCATTAGAGAGAGACAAAAAGAGAGTGAGAGAGGGAAAGTGAGAAAGCCAGCCACCAGGCATAGAACTCGAGCTGCATGTCATGTGGGAGTCCAGCACCTTAACCACAGTGCTACCTGCTGGCCCCC